AAGGAGTGAAAGGAATGACAGAATAGCATACTAAATACTTACACGCTTTTTGGGAAGACATTTAATTGAATGCATTTCTAATGTTCCTGTTTTGTACGTGTACGGCACCGAAAATGCATACGCAACTAATATTATTTCAATTACTCTTATAACCATATTTATTCAATTCAGTATTAAATATTGAGAGCTGAAATTTATGGTAACCAAACCTACCTTATGTGATTTGGTATGTTTATTACGAGGAGCACGTGAAAGCAGCATTAGTAGTGACGTAACGCATGGGCGTGTTGTCATGGCTGTGTGCTGCAAAACCTTTCAGTGTAGTAAATACATATTTTACCTAAAACAAGCCATAACAGTGTTGGTGATGGACAGCGACATGGAATTATATCTTACCACAAAGTAAACATTCTTGACAAAGATCCGGTAAGTAGTTACATTATGAAGGAAGTTGTGTTTTATGACAATAAAAGATGGCCAAACAGGATTTAGCTAGCTAGCTAGCGTCAACGTTAGAAAAGCTATACGCTACGCGCACCCCACCATCCTCTCTTATTATAAAGACACGCAGACCTCGACTTGCAGTTTTATTGTCCAGATTTTTGTCATGTTTCAGTAGCGTTATATTGTTGTCTAATAATACACTGGTTCATTATGAGACAATGATGAAAATGAGTGTTCAGTTAATTAGCCTTTTTATGTTAGAAATAGCACAGAATATCATATTTTGGTGGAAATCTCTGATAGGCACATTGTTAAGGTCAGCTGTTAATTTTAGGAATTGACCCTTAAGTTATAAGAAATGCTTTTGTATACTTATGTGTTAGCTGATTAAACCGACGAGTTTCCTTTAAAGATTCACCAAAGGTCTGTCTCAGTTGTTTTACTGTTATCTTCAGCATTGGCCAAGTTATCACTATGTTATGTTATTGTCGAATTATGTTGGATTGTAAGAATAGTTGTTGTCACTAGACTTGGGCTCAACAAGACTGAATTATTGAAATGAAGCTATTGAATATTTTTCCCAATAAAAATGTACCAAAATTATACAAAATCACATTTTTTCATACTAAGTGTTGTAGTACAATCATCAGATGGCCATTAATGTGCGGAGTGATTTTGGTGACCCTACAGTATGAGGGCAGTTATTGAATATTTTTCCACAGATTGTTAAAAAACAAATTTCCTAACCAAGGGTTGAAATAAAACCAGCAGACGGCCATTGATGTGTGAGGTGATATTGGTAACACTGCTCTGGGTAAAAGTAAAGTTACAGAATATTTTTATAGTAGGCCTATCTCTTGTCAGTGTTGCACTTTGTAGACGGTCCCTGCGCGCTCGTCTCACAGCTGCTGCACATTGAGACCAATGTTATGTGTCTGGAGCAGGGAACGGCTCATTTTGATAAAAGACGGCGTGTAGTTTGTTGTCTACATTACTATGAGACAAAAGAGGCATTACAGTATTTTAGCAACGTTTCACTATTGACCCTGAAACTTGGAATCTGGATATCTTTCCAACTTTACCGAAGCCAGCCACTATAACATCCTGTTATCAGCACCCTGACCGACAGCTGTCGCCTCCTCCGTGTCTGGGAGCAAATACGACGTTTGCATGTAACGTGAGCTTTAGATCGAGGCCTCCCTTTCAGTCAATAAGGCAAATTGGAATGACCGAATACCTCACTTCAAAGATAATGCGCACGGATTCTCCCAAATATTGGTTGGGACATTTCTGTCCGCCCAAAATATTGGTAGGGACCTGTCCCTATCGTCCATATGGAAAACTGCGCCCTTTATATAAGATCGACACCAAAAGCGCCAACCCCTCTGAGCATTTACGGAGAACCACTGTGACACCAGTGTGCTACAACGAAGGCCCCCTCCCAGTTTTCTCCACAAATTCTAGGATTGCATGTTTTGTTTTCTGCTGGAACATCACATTCCCAAATTCTTGTATCCTGATAACACCAGACTTGAAACAAACACATATATAGGCTACTTTGATCAAGTGACTAACAGAAAATAGGCCTAGTAAAAAAAAAATGTTTTGACAAACCTTTTGGTGGTAATGCATATGTGTTCGACATACCCTATTATCCTGTAGTGCTTTTACTTAATGACATATTACTCTCCCCTAAATTCTCCTTTCAGCAGTAAAATGTAGGCTAATCTTATTGCTAATATAGCATCACTGTAGCTGCTAATTAAAATATCCATCTTGTGGATCATAGCTACATTTTGCTTCAACGAGCAATGCAAACAGTGTTTCCACATCACTTTTCAGACATGTGGTGTGTTTACTAAGAAAACTATCTGATTACATTTTTAAAGAAAAAAGAATTCATGGCTGACAGACTGGTGTGATAATAAAATGTAGAGTTTTGCATTAGCTGTCACTACAGTGCACTTACAGTTTTCACATTAACCAGTATCGTTTGACTGAGGTTGCAGAAAGCAGCATTTGTGCCAAATATGTGATTTTTTTTTGTGCTGTCCGGTTTTGCAGTAGAAAGTCATTCCTCTTGATGTGAGATAAGCCTGTGAAACAGCCAGAAGATAGTCACCTTGAAGCATCTGTATGAAACACTGGCATCAGAACAGACTAAAGGCTTGTAGTGGGCTATAAGTCATATTACAGGTAGCCTTTACAATAGGTAATTTGTTATACCATAGTTATACATTATATACTTAATCAATAAAAGCACAGTAATATCCATTACATAGTATCTCTAGATGGCACTGTCTGACAGTTATTGTTTTTAGCAATTCAAATTATAATCATAAAGGTGCATTAACTAAGATTTTACACATTGTCTGGTTAGTCAGGTGAAAATGCGATTATCCTACCCCGACAGCCTGCCACTTAATGTGCTTCTGTTGTTAAACCATCTTCTCTACTCTGTGTTGTCAAAGTATGGTCTGTAAATTA